TGTCATGTAATGCCTGCAATAGGCCAGGAGAGGGCGTCATGTCCCCTGGAACTGGAGTTACAGATGGTTGATAGCTGCCATGTGAGTGTTGGGAAATTGAACTCAGATCCTCTGCAAGAGCAGTCAGTGCTCTTAACTGCTGAGCCATCTCTCCAGCCCCACATTTTCATACTGATAATGTTGATGCCAGCAATAACGAATTCTTTATGGTGAGTCTTCCCTGCAGATGTCAAGTGCTCAAAGCCTGACTCTTAAGGGATGGATGTGAAGCTGGTGGCACTGGGGCACTGAGTAGAGGTGGCAATGGTCACAGCAGTGCTGAGGGTCTGGATATGCTAAGCATAGGGAAGGCTTCTCCATACAGGCTCTGGTGGAATCTCTGCTCCACTCCCCAGGGTCTCTTTAGCTCCTTCCAGGTAAGAGATCATTGGTTTAGGGAGCTGAATCACCCACCCAAAGGCACTGCTCCTGGGTGGCAGGCCTAGTCCTCCTGGCTGAGCTGGACTCACTGCTCTGTGGGGCTTCCTTCCTCTGGCTGGGGTCTGGCTCTCTCTGCCTGGCTTCTGGCTCTCAGGAGATGCCGCATATAGGCAGCATTGAAAGAACCCGCCAGGTGTCTGGCTTCTCCACCCCCAGGTCCCATAGCTTAGGTCACCCTGGGGCCAGCAGACACTACCACCCATCCTGGTCCTGGACTAGCAGTCATCCAGGGACAGCCCTCCTGGTGTGCCCTGTACTCCTGGGCCAGGGTGAACACCCCCACAGGAAGGACCCTGCCCTCTAATGACCAGCTCTCTCTGCACACCACCCACACTCCTGGGAAAGAGGGGCAGTGGGGTGGGGTAGAGGGGGCCTGCTGAATCATACAGCTGGCCTCTGATTGGGAAACATGAAGTGTCCATCCGAGCTCTAAGGCTTCATTCAGGGCAGGGAGGAGGGATAAAGACAGAGCCCCAGGGTATGAGGAGGTGGGCCCCACCAGCTGGGAAGAAGCCAGCCTCTTGCCAATAGGGCAGCTTCTGACCGTGGCTTCCACACTAAAATACTTGACTTGCTTTCTGGTGGGAAGTGGGGCATGTCTCCTTGTAGAGGACAGCTCGGCCGCTGCCCACAGCAGGGCAGAACAAGCCGTAAGGGCTCCAGTGTGCAGGTGTAGGAACCTGGGGCTCGGAGACGTAAAACTACCTGTCTCATTCCAGTCAGGTCTGTCTGCCCTCCCCCACTACAAAGCACATGCTGAATTCTGTTCACGCTTGATTAGGCTTGTGGGAGCAATGAACATGTCCACAGTGCATCCCCTACTTCAGTCAGAGTATGGGCATATAGATGAGGGGGAAGTGGAGAGGTTCAGAGGCAAAGTCTGGGCTGATCCCAGAGCTGGGAAGGAGCAGGCCTGCTGAGCATGAGCTGTGTGCAGGGGCCGCGTTCTAGAGGTGCCCATCCTACGTCCTCTGCATGAGAGCTAGCTGCTATGGTCATCGCCCATGCCCCTCCTCCGCACCTGGCCCAGGTCCACTTATGCACAGGCATCTGGCCACTTATGCACAGGCATCTGGAGCACAGGCAGACAGTAACCGGTGAGGCTATCTCTGAAAGAGACTGTGGGAGTGGGCCAGGATGGGTGTGTTTTGGGGTGTGGTGGGCCAGCAGTTTCAGGTGGATGTGGCCTGGGCAGGGCCAGCCAGAGGTGGCCACGCCCACTTCCTGCCTAGGGAGGAAGCCCCAATGCCGATGACTCCAGCAGGCCCAGGAAGCAGATGGCTAAGCAGCTCCCCATGCAGAGACTGGGACCAGGGGCCCAGCAGAGAACCCACTGAAAGCCAGTGACACATTCTGTTGTCCTCAACTGGCCTTGTGCTATGGTGAAACACAGCTACCACAACAGGCGCCATGTCTTGGCGCCTGGTCAAGGGTGTGAAGCACTTCACAATGTGGCTGGCTGAGCCTTTTCATCTTGTGGAAGAGACTCTGGTCACTAGTCGCTGCCTCCTCGCTAGGATTAAAGGCATGCGCCACCTCGCCTGGCAGCTTCCTTCTTTCTTAAGGCTGAATATCCTCATGCCCATTTCATAGATGGGCAAACAGGCCCAGAGGGAGCTGTTATTGCCCAGCTTTACTACTTGTTGCGGACTGAGGCAGCCTTCATACCACATATGCAGTGCCACCCAGACAATCCCCGCCTCCGGGTGGCATACCCATGAGTAGCCCCACCTGCCAGCTGTCCTTGGCACATCTGGGTGTGAAGAGAAAGCAAAGGGATGGGGCCAGAAGCAGGGGAGGGGCCCTTCCGAGGAAGCATCCTGCAAGCCATACCCTTATCCTTCCTTGTGTGGAGTCCTCCACAATTGTCATGACTCTCCCTAGCAAATGGAGAGCAACTTCTTTCCTAGGGCCTCCTTTC